AATATTTACACAAGTAGATACCACAAATCTTATGTTATACTTAATAAAAGTATAAATAAACTCTTAAGTGTTAGTCAATCTATCGTTTTGTTGGGATACGAATTCTCCAAAACTAATTTCAACGATCCAAACCGTCAAACTTGTTTGTATATGCTTGGAGATCACATTAACAAAAAAATCACAAAAAACAAACATCCGAGATCAAGTAACGGGACAAAACTTTTCGACGGTTATAAACGAAAAATCACGATTTAACGGTTATTTTAACTCTGATTTTGATTATTTTTTACAAGTACACTCCCTGACCCTATATGAATACAATGAATGAATTTGATCTTCAATTTAAAATATTTACACAGGTGGATACCACAAAATCTTATGTTATACTTAATGAAAGTATAAATAAGCTCTAAGTGTTAGTCAATCTATCATTTTGTTGGGATACGAATTCTCCAAAACTAATTTCAACGATCCAAACCGTCAAACTTGTTTGTATATGCTTGGAGATTACATCAACAAAAAATCATAAAAAACAAACATTCAGATATTAAGTAACGGGACAAAGCTTTTCAACGGTTATATACGAAAAATCACGATTTAACGATTATTTTAATATATTTTTATATGGTATAATATTATTATTTTATTTCTTTTCATAATTATTTTGATAAACTTCTCATAATTTGAATAATTTTTAATGTTTGGTTTTTCTATACTTAGTTTATGCGGAAGAGAGTTTTAACGTGGAAAACCTTACTGAAAACATCTTTAACATAACTCTTCAAGGCAATAGATCAAGCCAAAGTTTCAATACAATTTCATGATGATCGATGTAAATTGAAGATTTTGTAGATAGAGGTGTAAACTTTTGAAAAAGACTTACAATCTTGAAAACCAAAACTCTTTCATTTTGCATATCCTTGCACATTTAATATTTGTAATAGATTAGTAGTGTATGTATTATTTTTTTATTAGGCTCTTATTTTCGAGTGTAGATATAGTACTTAAATGACAAATGTTTTAATGTTTTGAAGTAATATTTATGTAGCAATGTGTGGTATGTGCAAATTTAAATTTTTTGTTTTCTTCTTAACGGGTCATAACGGGTCGGGTCACTTTACCCGTTGGGTAGAGTGACTTGACATGTTCAGGACCCGTTAAGATAACGGGTGTGATATGACACGACCCGTTAAAATAACAGGTGTTACACGAAAACGACACGAACACGACAGACATGACCCGTTCTCCAGGCCTACACACGGTGACTATTTAGAGTGTCAATAATATTCGCAAATGAAAAAGCATTACAAAAAAGTTACATTCTCTAATTTTTCTCCAGTAGTACACAACACCGATTGAAAATATAATATCTAATTGTTGTAGAAATTAAATCTAATGGCTAAAACACCCATAACATTGATTGTTTTGTATTTCATCCTCAAAACCATTACAGAAGATGATTTGTTCATCCAGTGCATTCTTCGACACAATTTATGCAACTTTATGCGAGTTAAGGGATTGGGGAGTTCCGAGGTCGTTACCTTCAATTAAAAAAAAGGGATTGGAGAGTTGGAGAAATAGGTGAAGTGTGTTTAAATGAGAAGAGATCCTTTCCGGATCTCTTTCACCAAGACCACATGATCAAGTAATCCGGAACTTTGAAATTTCATCAAACGACCTACCTGTTTTGACCCCTTAAATGCTATAATAATTTTTTGCCGTTAGATGAAATTTCAAAGACTCAGATCATTTGATCCGGTAATCTTGGTAGAAGAGATCCGAAAAAGATCTCTTCTCGTATTGACATGAGTGAGATGGTAGCAAGAAGGTGCTTATGCCGCAACAGTGGCCCTTATAGGCCTAGCCGAAAAGGGGCAGCACTCTTCACTTCAATAGCAGATCACCTGCTAAAAAGCCCACTGGGATAGTAACAGCTTTCTCTTAATTTTCGATTGTCGGTTGAATGAGCTGAAGAGGGTCAAATGACATAAATTTACATGAGATGTGTGGAAGGTAAAAAAGGTGTGTAGATAGCAACACTCTTGAGATATTCTATGGAAAACATGAATATGCTTTGTTAAAAAATTCTATGCAGATGATCCTTGTATCCTTGCACAATTCAATGTGCTGAGAATACAGTTTGGTGCATCAATTATTAGAGTATAATTGGTTGAAAATTTGAAAAAAAAATTCAAAACAATTATAATATGACACTTGATGTATATACCTGTATTTCTGACTGTTTTTTCCTAAAAAAAAAAAAGATCTTCCCGAGAAAAACTATTTTAAATAAAACTTCTAAATTACAACTAAAGTCAAGAAATCAAGTATACCACCTTAATATATAAGAATTGAAGATTTTTTCACAACAAAAATTATGCTTTTATTCCCGATTTTTATCTTATGATGTTTTATCTAACAAAAAATGTTTTTGCCAGTTAATATTACAATCTAGTGATATATATATTTTTTTTAAGTTAGAGGTTTTAGGTCAATTATCGTCAAAGACGAATTTAAACTATATTATTGCTACTCAATTGTGAGACTTAGCCTAATCCCGTACTTCTTAATATACATTACATCAGTTGTTAAAAAAAAAAAAAATGTTTTATAAGCAAAAATTTATTTTCATTTCGTTATAAAAGTAAAAAAATTACAACTTTTGTTTTGGGCAATAGAAACAACCACAATCGACAATTGGCAATCGAGATTCTCCTCACTAAATTACCATTTTCCTTTATTACCCTGCACCCAGGCCCACCTAAATTATCAGATCCAACAGTCACCCGACAGCCACAGACTGCGGCCCACTCCACCACACGTACTCGCCGCCGCATACGATCTTTTCTCTTCTCCCTACACCGAACTTTATCATCGAAAAATCTCGACATTTTCTTTCTGCTCTGACGTTCTCCTCTTCTCTCTTTAGGGCAATCTAACTCGCTGTTTGACTCAGACCTCCAAACCCTCGCTCTCGCTGATCTGCTCCCTCAGGTACTAACTCTCTCCTCTCTCTCTCCGACCCGGACTCGATCCCGACTCGGTCCGAGTTCGTTCCTCTTTTGTGGATCCTCGCGCCTGTGACTGTTGAGGAAATTTTGGCTTTGGTGCCCTAGCAACATCGCTCTCTCTCCTAGGGTTTTTGGGAGAGGTTTTTGATTTTAGGATTTTAACATCGAAATGACTGAGGCAAGTGTGCGTTGCGTTGCATTTTGCTTGGCTGTCGAGAAAATTTGGATTAATGAAGAAACCAGAAAGTATTGGAGTTTATGATTTAAGTGTTAGTTTTTGTATTCGTTATAATTTATGGCGTGAGATCTTTTCCTTTCTTTTTTTATTTTTAAATTTTCGTTTTAGTCTCAGAGAAGAAAATTAAACTGCTAATTTACTGGATATGAATATTTTAGCGATTGAAAATGGGGTAGTTTGTGGAACGTCTCGAATTATGAGTTAATCTTTGGTGAAGCATATTACAACATTCCGGTGTCGTGTTTTGATTTTGAAATGGTGTTAGATGTTTTTGAAAATCTTTTCAGTGAGTTAAAGTGCATTTGAAATTGGGAAGCAGATGGTTAAGTCTGTGGGAATCTGAGAAAGTTACTGGAGAACTCTGTAATTTTCTTCTTGGGATTGCTCACCTTTAAGATATTGTATAGTTTACCTTTTCATTTTATGGAACTTGTTATAGTAATTGATAGTTTCATTTGCATTTGGGAAGTCGAGAGTACATAAAAAATCTGGACACCTTATGCTGCAAGAGATACATTGCATTAGTAATTTAGTTAGTCATTGCAAAATTAATATGTAGAAGATTTTGGGTTTCTGTAAAGCTGATTATAGTGTGTCAATTCCTTGCCTAAGAAAACCCAGTTTGGGACTTAAGAACAACGGTTTGTACCTTGTGGTCTCAGGTTAGAAACCCCAAGGTACCTACCTTGCAATGACTAGTGTTTTATTCCCCCAAAGATTGTAGGGGTAGGCAGTGGATCCAGTTTAGAAGCTGTGTCAGCAAGGTTGACATGTTGAGTCCTGGGTTTTAAAAGAAATGAAATAAATACTTGTACCGTACCATAATCTCTCATATGTGTGTTTGTGTGTGTTGGTTGTGTATCTGTGTGGAATTATTTTGTACTAAAGTTGATGCCAAGTTATTGAATTATTATGGATGCATCTGTAGGCTATTTGTCAACAAAGAAGATTTATCAAGTTGTCCTTTTCAGGCTATAGGTGATTTGTTAACAGAGAAGATATATCAAGTTGTTCGTACAAGGAAGGGTTATTTCTCGGCAAGGAAGCAAGGAATGCGTTATTGCATGACCTTTTGATGCTCATGCAATGTCGGGTTTACTTAATGTACAGTCTTTTGTCCATATCACTTCTCTACAGTAAAATTTGTTTATAAGATATTAAGATTGTCTTCTTGACTCAAAATGTTATCTTTTTCCCAACAAGTCTGTCTAATCATTTAAGGTTTTGGATCGTTTAATGATTGAACTCTGGATTTGTTTTTGAAAGAAATGTGTCATTTGTCTGTTCATGTATCTTTCCAAGCACTTGCACTTATACACGGCTTTTTTCTCCTTCAATTTTAACATTGTCGTGAAATGCTCGTTAGGATTTGCACTTTATTTGCAAATATTTTATGGTCAGACCATGATGCTGTATGCTTTTGTTTCTAAATTTTTGGTGATTTCATGCATGTCTATTGTTTATTAGTGTTATGGTTTGCATGATGAACTATAATTATTTTTGCAGTATACGAGAATTGTTAAAATATTGAATAGTTTTTCTAATTTTATGTTTTAGACAGAATGGTGCCAAATATTGTATTCCTTGCAGTTATTGTTGCAGTCGTGATTTTTAGGATTACGAGGAATTTAAAGTCTCTAGTGTTGATATGTGTTTTGTGTTTCATATGTGTTGTATAATTTGTTCATTTATGACATGAAACCTAATTTGTTTTTGGTTGCAGTCTTCTCTAAACGGATCAGCCTCAAATCTCCCAGACAGTAGTGGGCGATTTGCGTCATCTTTCTCTGGTCAATCTGGTGCAGCTTCTCCTGTTTTTCATCACTCAGGTGGGTTACTATTGCTTGAGTTTCTTGTGTTAGTGTCAATGTTAGTGAAATTTCAAGTTTCTTTCTGCAGGAAGTATGCAGGGATTGCATAATATTCATGGGAGCTTCAATGTTCCCAACATGCCAGGTACATTAACATCAAGAAACTCAACAATAAATAATGTTCCTTCTGGTGGAGTCCAACAACCAGCTGGAAGCCTCTCTGGCGGACGATTCACATCAAATAACCTTCCTGTTGCTTTGTCTCAGGTACATGGGATATGTATTTCGTATGCTGATTGTAGTTTTGAGAGTAGTGACATAATCGATGGACCTCTCTCTCTGCCTCTCTCTGCCTCTCTCTGTCATTCTTTGTCTTGTATTTTACTCTTCTTCCATATTTTCCTTAAAAAAAAAAACTGTTTTTGCAGTTATCTCATGGAAGCTCCCATGCACATTCAGGAGTCACTAATAGAGGAGGTATAAGTGTAGTAGGAAACCCTGGATTTAGTAGTAGCACAAATGGAATTGGCGGTTCTATTCCTGGGATTCTCCCTACATCTGCTGCAATTGGTAACCGGAGTGCTGTTTCAGGATTGGGCGTGTCCCCTATTTTGGGAAATGCAGGTCCTCGGATTACAAGTTCCATGGGAAACATGGTTGGTGGGGGAAACATTGGGAGGAGTATTAGCACTGGTGGAGGCTTGTCGGTGCCTGGTCTTGCTTCTCGTCTGAATTTAAGCGGAAATAGTGGATCTGGAAGTTTAACTGTACAAGGGCAAAATCGCTTGATGAGTGGCGTGCTACCACAAGGTATATTGCCTTCCTTATGGAATTAGTTCTTTTCGTGCTTTATAACTATAGTTAGGCCTTCTGCAGTGGTTAAGGTGAGTTTGATTCCTATAACGCAATTACTACAATGGTATGAGTTTGATAGACGTGAGTTATATCTATTAGTTGCAGAATCCGTCCAATTTTTATTCTCATATTGGTTATTCCATTTTCTTTCAGAACGTTTGTCATTGATTGTATAGGAATCAAACTCATGAGTTCAATATATTGAGCTCAGAGTTGGAATCACGCTCATAGAACTCAAATTTTTTGGACTATTGTATGAATTTGATTCCTACAAAATTGGAAACAAACTCAATTTTATCAGCCTACTGTGGAAGGCCTTAGCTATGAGACTCTTGACTTAGGTTCTAGTAAGATTTGATGTTTGAAATGAATTTGAGCTCTGGTTCACGATTTGTTATAAGATTTCGTTTGCTTATTAATTTGGTAATCAATGCAAATACTATAATTTTTTTTAATACCTTGGTGGATTCTGCTGAACTGTTGTAACACAGTTTGGTGTAGTTCCTTAGTTTTTCGGTTTGAATAGCAGTCCAAGAACTAGCAGGCTCAGCTGTATTGGTTGTTATTGCATATGGATGTCTGGTGCTGAAATGAAATTGTTTTATCATTTTATCAAATTTTGCTTATGGAATCTTCCTGTACATAATTTTCTGGTTTCAGGGTCTCCGCAAGTAATTTCGATGCTAGGAAATTCTTACCCTAATGCTGGTGGTCCACTTTCTCAAAGCCATGTCCAAGTGAATAATTTGAGCTCGATGGGAATAATGAATGATGTGAATTCTAATGACAGTTCTCCTTTTGACATCAATGATTTCCCTTCATTAACAAGTCGTCCTAGTTCTGCGGGAGGGCCTCAGGGGCAGTTGGGTTAGTAAAGAAATATGATGCAGTTTTGGTTGCATCCTATACAGTAATTGGAATATAATATACAGAAATTTTTTTTAGGTTCACTACGAAAACAAGGCCTTGGTGTTAGTCCTATTGTTCAACAGAACCAAGAGTTCAGCATCCAAAATGAGGACTTTCCAGCTTTACCAGGATTTAAAGGTGCGATATATTCATATATAAGAATATTTGTTTTTGCAGTTGCATAATTTAAATTTAACCAAGACTAGAGTTTGAAATTTAATATTTTGAGAAATGTTTCTTCGGAAGGTGATTTTCAGATGTTAGTAGTCTTTGACCTGTCATTTTTTTTTGGTGATTTTACATTTTTATTTCCAAGTTTTAGAAGATTGAGGGTATTCTGAATTTTCATTCAACTTCATCTCTCTCTCTCTCTCTCAAACACACACACACACACACACACACACCCACACCCACCACACACACACTCTCTCTCTCTCTCTCTCTCAAACATATATATCCCCAAATGTGATTAACATGCTCCCAAAACTATATGAAATAGAAGAATCGGAAAGGAGTTTTGCTCTTCTAGTCAATTGCTCCTACCTCCACTATATTATCTTGAAAGAAATCCTTCTCTTGTGTTTCAAAAATTAAATTAGTTACTAATCTATGAAAATAGTGGACAGAATTCCTAAATGACTTGCCATTTTGCTAGTATGCTGACCTCTTCACAAAATAATGTAGCCTCCATATATACTTGATATGTTCATCCTTTAATTTCTACCTAATTTATCCTACCATCCCCCATTGTGTTCTTTAGTTGTGTATGAGGAAAGTGCATTACAATTGTCGGGGACAGAGGTAGACTTGTGATAATGGATTGGTTTTGGGGCTTTTATTCTTTTTTCTCTTTGGTGGGTTGGTGTGGTTGAGTGGATGGAGAATTGTGGAAGGATGGATAGAAGGGCACCCTTTGAGCTGAGGAACTAGGTGGTGTCAGATAACCATGGGTGCCAATATATCTTTCATCTACCGTTTTTTTTTTGTTACAACTGAAGGGATGTAATCATGTAACCCTTGACCTATCATACTCCTAAACCATTTCCTCCTCCCTCACTACTTAGGATAACCCCAAGGACTTAGCGTTATGTCATTTTTACCACATATACATACTGCTTGAATAGTTGAACAACATTCCTGTAGCGGAGGCTGCTGGCCCACTTGCATTTTTGACCTTATTATTAGATCTTCAGCAGGTGGTGATGCTGAATATGGGATCAATATGCACCAGAAAGAACAACTCCATGACAATGCTGTGTCGATGATGCAATCTCAGCACTTCCCAGTGGGTTCTAAGCTTTAAATCAAAGAAGAGTCTTTTCCCCCCTTCCCCTTGGATTATTACTTGCAGCAAATTGCTCTAAGCCCTTATATCTATGTATATTGTTTTGCAGATGGGACGGTCCTCAGGATTTAACTTGGGGGGAACTTATTCTTCTCATAGGCCACAACAGCAACAACATGCTCCATCAGTCAGCAGTAGTGGTGTCTCGTTTTCACAAGTAAACAATCAGGATCTTCTCCATATGCATGGTTCAGACATATTCCCATCATCACATTCAACTTATCATTCACAGGTCTGGTAGTTTGGTTTCACAAATTATTCTTTTTGTTATAATGGGGTTTCACTGTGGGGATAGATTGTATGGTGATTTTATTCTTATGGTGTCATTCAACGTGGATTGGAAAACATATTCTTATGATTGTAGGTATTATATCTAATGATTTGATTCAGAATGATTTGTTGGTCCAATAAAGTCGATTCTAGTGCATTGGGAAAGTTGAATGGTTTTTTATCCTCAGATCGGGAAAAGCTTGAGTTAAAAGCATTTATTTAAATTCTCTAGTAATTGTGGGATCTAACATCTAAAACTTTTGATTCAGACTAGTGGAGGACCTCCTGGCATTGGATTAAGACCTCTGAATTCTGCCAATTCAGTTTCTGGTATGGGTTCATATGACCAGCTTATTCAGCAGTATCAACAACAAAATCAATCCCAGTTTCGGCTGCACCAGATGTCAGCTGGCAATCAATCGTTTAGGGATCAGGGAATGAAATCCATGCAGTCAGCGCAATCTGCTCCAGACCTATTTGGTTTGCTTGGATTGTTAAGTGTCATAAGGATGAGTGATCCTGATCTTACATCCCTTGCACTTGGAATTGATTTGACAACACTTGGATTAAACTTGAATTCAACAGAAAACCTTCACAAGACTTTTGGTTCCCCATGGTCTGACGAGCCAGCTAAGGGTGATCCAGAGTTTAGTGTTCCACAATGTTACTATGCTAAACAACCGCCTGCACTACATGTGAGCTGTTCTTTTTATTAAAAATCATTTTTTAAATTCAATCTTCTTCATGCATATTGTGCCTCTGTGCTCTAAACTCACTTTGGTGGCTGCAGCAAGGGTATTTTTCAAAGTTTTCCGTGGAAACGTTGTTCTATATCTTTTACAGGTGCTTCTTGTTGGACCTCTCAAGTTATTTTCAATTTTCAAAGTATTGAACTCACGGAGTCATTCTTTTTTGTTTGCAGCATGCCCAAAGACGAGGCCCAATTATATGCTGCCAATGAACTGTAAGCGTTCATTTGTTTATAAATTTGTATTATTTCCCTTATATAAAAAGTTTAAAAACCCCATAATATGCGTACGTTTGTCCACTTAAGAGCTTGTAGTGATGGAATACTCTTGACCTCTTAACAGTTTCTTTGAGATCATGTTTTAAATCCTATGTGCCCTTCTTTTTACGACATAAGAGTGTTTAATGTTCAGCAATATATATAAACAAGCCTTGATTGGTGTGTACTAAAATGTTGTATGACATTTGTTGTTGGCAGCAATAATAGAGGCTGGTTTTATCACAAGGAACACCGCCTATGGTTCATAAGAGTACCCAACATGGAGCCAGTTGTGAAGACCAACACGTTTGAGAGAGGATCTTATCACTGCTTTGATCCCAATACCTTTGAAACTATCCGAAAGGTAAACTGATTGAATTATATTTCGTGCATTTTATCCTAACTTGACAAATTGTAGTCCCCTGAGTTGAACCTATATTTTATGCGCAGGATAATTTTCTTGTGCATTACGAGTTGTTGGAGAAGAGACCGGTGTTACCACAGCATTGATGGTCTTAATGTTTTAGAATGTAAAGTTTCAGTTGACGGATGTCATTCATTAGAACGTAATTCAGTTTCTCGTATCAATGTTCCTTCAATTTAGCAATTGTAAGCAATTGTCTTATACACCTT